TCAGCAGCCTAACCAGAAGCAGGTTTAGTGGATTTCTTATAGCTACCCACACGAGTAGTCTCTTCTTTCTTAGTAGGCGAATCAGTCTCAGCAGCAAAGGGAGTGGGCCTTGGCGCCACTTTAGCAGCAGAGTCCACCTTATCGTTATTCATAGTAGCAAGCCTCTCCAAAGGTGAACTGGACTTAGCTCACAATAGACATCTTGGTACAAACTTCGGCACTAGGGGCATGACAGGACCTTTACGCTGAGCAATCCTATCAGCAATCGTACTAGCCATTCTAAACATGGAAAGCGCCACATGCTCAAATCTAGCAGCCTCATTTTTCTTCCCATTGAAAGAAGTCATGCCAATCATAGGCCTCTCGATAGCAGACGGATCCTTAGGAGCAGCGGAGGAAGTCTTCAATTTTTTCTTAACCGACATCTCTTGAGCAAGCGGGGAAGATCTCTTCTTTCCACCTTTATTCATAGTAAGCTCCACAACAACGATCAGACAAGCCAATGCATCTGCCTTAATCCTCTTTACCTTCTCTTTCGGGAGCAGCCCATCTTTCTCCCGATGAAGAGAACTAAATAGCCAATGCAATTCATGGTACTCAGCAGGGGAGCTTAACCCAGCATTCCAGCAGGAAGGAGGCCTGCATGCCCAGCATTCCAGCAATCCATGAGGCCGGTGACCTCTTCATTTCTCTCAATTGTTGGCTTGGCCCGCGTCAAGTCCAAGAGCCCAAAGGACAAGAGCCATGCGGCTCACCTAGCACTACATCTCAGTGCTTTAATCCGCGGTCCCAACAGCATAAGCTGCCCATGGCTCTAGCCAAGTTGAGCAGCCTAAAGCAGTGGTCTCTACCACAACACCTCATCGGCCCATGCCGAGCCGACTCCTGGCCTCTGCCAGCCGACGACTGCCTCGCGATAGCACTATCCAAGAGAAAAAAACAAGAAAAATTAAATTTTTCTTACATTAGTGTGGCACAGAGAAGACGAAGAAATCAACGAAAGACGGTCATTTGCACGGGCAAGATGTAGAAGATTGCTAGAGGAGGGGGAACAAATATCCTCTAAGCTCTCTCTCTTTCTCTCTTGTAGGGTAGAATAAATCGCTCTCCAAAGTTGATTTAATAACCCACTTAAGGTGGACTTAAATAGGCTTTGAGAAAATTTATTTCCCTTTCCTAGAAGGATCTAATTTCCTATTAAAGAGGGAATTTACATAACAAAAATGAAGCAGTCCTATGTTTCATAAAGCAAGAAGATCTTTACACCTGTTGTCCTTTCCTACGAGCAGCCCAACAGGTGTGGGGGCATTTGTGGAGCCAAAAATAATCACAAGGCAACACGTGGATTTTTGGATAAAAGAGGACAAAAATACCCTTGAGGTACAACAGGACTCCTATGCGAGAGCAGCGGGCAATCATCCTTCAACTAAATCAAAAATGCCCAAAATAGGTAACAATTCAAAACCTATCTCATCAAATCCGATCTACAAGGTAACTCCCAAAACCTATTTCATTCGATATATCTTTTACCTCATTTTCCCCTTTTTAGCTAATCAATTAGCTATTTATTCACTAAATAACCTCCCAAAAACATTCCTTTTATTATGTTAATTAGCCAATTAATATATTTATTCCTGATCAGTATATTAATTTGCTAATTAAATCACCAAATAACACCAAAAATACACACAAAGGGCCGGCCACTCTTTCTCCAAAGAGGGCCGGCCATGCCCTATAAAATAAATAACACCTAGCTCTTCACTCTTGCTAAAATTCTCCAAAACTCTCAAACACTTTTCTCTCTAAATCTAACCTTGACATCAGAGGTTCTTCGGCCAAAGCCCCCCCATTCATCGTGGGTGCGTGTGGCTCTTGGCCTTGACCTAAGGTGTTATTTATTTTGTAGGTGCAATTTTGTCCAAGATCAAGAAGGCGGAAATTTGCATCCACACTTATCTTCCCATTGTTGCACTTGTCTAATTGAATTAATATTTCTCCTAAAGATCCCTTTTTATTGGGGTTTTTCAAGTTTTATATTTAATTTACCTCCTATATTATTTAGTGAACATAGAGATTTAGTTTCCTTTCTTCACTCCTGTTAAATCATATGTTATAGGATCAAATACATCAAGTCACGAAGAATCAATTATGTTGCTCACTGATTATTCAAATGCAGTGCACAACTTTTTAATATCATAAAAAATTGTTGATATTATTGGAAAATTTTCCAAAAGTTTGTGCCACATTTTTAAAATCATAGAAATTGTTGATATTATTGGAAAACTTTCCAACGGGTTTCTTATTCTATTTTCCTTTGTTTTGCGAAAAATCGTAGCCCATGCTCAAGAGCTCCACAGGTATGTCACCGCTCTTTTACATGTTTCTACTTTGATTTCCAATACGAGGTTAAGCCTTTAATTGCCAACAAATTTTCGTTGGGTAATTTAATTTCCCTCAAAGACATAAATTAATGTGTTTTCTTTGACCATTCTATTATAATTTTCAACCCATTTCGTATAAAGCTGTAGTTTCTTGCCAATCTCTTAAGTTCTCTTGATGAAGTTGAATTGGAAATCAGAATCTTATGGAACATTTTGGTAATAGGGAGGCTGATTGTGCCCCGGATCAATGGGGACGTTCAAGCTTTGGAACCATGAGTGCTTCCACAGACAGTGCCAGGAAACATTTGACTGCATTCATGCAACCACTTCTAATTCCAGTCGTCTTTAGTTTTTCATCATGGAGAATAGTTAGCTTGCTTTTATCTTTTTACGATAGTTTGTTTTGATCCTATTATATGTTGCTATGCATTATTCACTTGCATGCCTTTTAAGTTCAACTGTCCGTGGAGAACATAGTTTAAATATCCTCTGCATTAAGTGTAGTTATTGCTAATTTGTTGAACCAATGGTCCGTAGGGGTCTGCAAGGGGTTAGGTTGGAAATAATGGTTCGGGAAAGGGGGTGCTTTAGGGGAGAGATTCTTTCGTATAGTCATTTTATCACATGGTAATCGTTTGTTAAACGTTGAATACATGTGAAGCGTATATCCAACGGGTACGGAAATTGAGTTTTAAGTTTTAGGGGTATGCGAGGGATTAGATCGGAAAGGGATGGCTCGGGGTGAGGTTGTTGGGGGTGCTTTAGGGGAGAGATTCTTTCATATAATCATTTTATCATGTGGTAATCGTTTGTTAGACGTTGAATACATGTTAAGTATATATTCAACGATGATGGGATTGAAATTATGGGAAAGAATAGGCAATTGCATTTAGTTGGGTGGAATACAAATACTAAGATGCAAGCACCTGAAGTTATATGGTGATTCATATGCAATTTAAGGTGATTTTATTCATGAGTAATCAAATTCTATTTTTAATTTCTTTTTTTTTTAAAGTTCAACGGTGAAGTACAAAACAAAGGAGGCGCCCTTAACGTAGTTACGAATTTGGGTGTCTTTAGTGGAACAAAACTTCATTTTTTGTACTTTGTATGGTTGTAAGCATAAGACTCTCTTTGAGATTGGGCCATAGCTTTTCAAAAGCAAACCCAAGGATGGCGTACCAACTCTACAATTTTTGGCTTGTAATATATGAATGTAAATAGCACTCCTGACTATGGCACACCAACATTCCTAATTTTGCTAACTTCTATTCCCTACACAGGATTGTAAAGAACACCTGAATACATAAACACTACAATTTGACACATTTTCGAGATTTTCTACATTTTCAACAATGTTCTAAACCCCGCAGCAACGCGCAGGTACACTTACACATGTATCTTAAGAAGTTAAGAGCATTGAAATTTGCATATTGATTCTCCGTCTTCTAATATTGTCATAATTTAAATAAAAAAAATGCAATATGGCCGGTGTAGTATAAAACAAATATAAAGAGTTCAAACCAGTATACCAGTTCAAACTATAAGATGATAATCTTTAAAAGTACATATAGCAATGAAACGAAAATAATTATATATGTACACCAAAAGCATGTGCTTGGACTCTTTATACATTTAATGATGAAGAAAATAATAGCCTAGCTAGCAAGTAAACGAAAATGATTATATATTTACACAAAAAGCATGAGTTACATTCTTATAAATTTAATTGGGTTTAAATTAATGACCAAATTGATAATATAATAAATGAAGCTTATTGAGCATAGATATGTACATAAACACACAGGAGGCAGAAATGGCTCATGCATATCTCTACATATTTAGATGACATGATCACTCCCAATAGTTGTTTTTTTATTTTTTGAACAAACGATATTATCTATACTAAGGGAGAGAGGGTACACTAGCCTCATAATGGGTGAGCAATAATATGGTTCAAATCCGCATTTGGTGAGAATCGAACCTAAGTCATCTCACTTACAAGTGAAGAAGAATATCACTATACTGTAATACTAAATAACATTCCCAATAGTTTAATTACCTAGTACTTCCATTCAATGTGTCCTTCGTCGCCGAGAAATATATTGATAGGACTGTTTTATATGGCAGCTCTCACATGTTGGTGAAACAAGTGTGAGGTGATGTAAAACCCAAAATAATGGCGCTTATACTTTTATGAGAATGACACTACAAATGATATGGTGGGGAGTCTCCACCGTAGTTTTTCTCTTCATCTTCTCAAATGGCTACAACTCAATAAAAACTGCCAATTTTATTTCTTATATTTCAAAAAGAAGAAGACTGCTGGATATGTATTATTCTATCAGTTTTTGTGCGAATTAAACGTGCTTGATTTTATTATATATTCTAATTAACATATGTTAGCTAACCCGTTGATCTTGGACTAAGGAAATGGAAAGTGCTCCTCCATAATAGAGCAAGCACAAAATTAACGAATACTAAATTAATCCAATGATACTTGGATAAATAAATACATAATCCATAAACTTCCCATAATTTTTTTAATAAATTGGTTACTTAGCTTATAACTTTTGTAACCTATATAAATAAGCTCTTTTGGACACATTTCTAGTTACCACGGAGGTTCTAATAGTTTGATTTCCTTCATCTATTATGGCTAACGTGTGTCCTCCAGCTCCCCAAGTTCTCTCTCTATCTCGCTACACTAATAGTTCATCAAAGAGAGACACTTATACCATTTGGATGAAATCACTTGTATGTCATACAAATGGTTGCACTGTTTACAATTCCAGTGGCAACATTGTTTATCGTGTCGACAACTACGACAAAAAGTGTAGCAACGAAGTCCATCTCATGGATCTCCAAGGCAAAGTCCTCTATACTATATGCAAAAAGGTAAATATAATATAAAAAATATATAGTTATGTTGTTTAACTGTGAATTCGAGTATATTTATGGTTGTGCGTTTCTTTGATTTTGCAGAAATTAAAAGCTTTTGAGCAATGGGATGGCTACAGAACTAGTAGCCCTTCTAATAGAAACAAGGAGAAGCCTGGGTTTCAAGTGAAAAGTTATAGTAGAATGCTCATGGGAACCACAGCTTGTCAAATTACAGTAGAGTGTGACAAGTATTGGATAGTGGCAGGGAAGAGTGGTGCTGTGGGATATAGAATAGTAGACATTGATGAACATATTGTTGCAGAGGTAAGCCTTGGGTCTTTAATTATACTATCTAATTATATGTAACTTACAAGGATCGACCATATATACATATTTATCATTTATCTATTAATAATTTTAACATATTTTTTGGTGGGCTTGTGCAGGCGAAGCAGAAGCTATCATCATCTGGAGTAGTTCTGGGGGATGATGTCTTAACTTTAGAGGTGGTTCCTCATATGGACCATTCCTTTATAATGGCTATTGTGATTGTGTATGGATTGATTTGTCGCAAAATGTAAGTGTGATCACATAATATGTAGCATGGCTATTTCCAAAGCATGTAAAAATGCACCTTCTTATAAACTAGGGTAAATTACATAGTAACCCCTTAGGTTTGAGGTCTATTACAACCCCATACAACATCTTTAAAACATTTTACTTTTATACCTCACGTATTATTTTATTTCAAAGTAATACCTCCGTTACATTTTCCATCCATTGATCCGTTAAGCGCTGACGTGGCTACCACATTTGTGCCACGTGGCTGCCAAATGTGTGTCACGTGGCAAAAAAAACAATTTTTTATTTTTTTAAAACATAAATCTTCTAAATAAAAAATATAAAAAAATAAAAACAAAAAACAAAAAACAAAAGCTAAAACACACCTCCCCGCAAACCCCACTTCGTCTCCCTCCCTCCCTCCCCCACCCAACCTGCAACCCAGAAGAAGAAGAAGAAGATAAAAAACAAAAAACAAAAAATCCATCTTCATCTTCCCCCACCCCCCTTCCTTGCAACCCACCCCTTTCTTGCCCCTCCCGTCTTCCCAAACCCACCACACCCATCCTCCATGTCCTCCTCCGCACCCACCCTCCACACCCACCCTCTTCCCTTCTCTACACACCCCACTCCTTAAATCCACACTCATTGGGGAAGATGGGATCTGAGTTGCAAGAAAAGGGAGATGGGTTTTTTTTTTTCTTTTCTGGGTTGCAGGTAGGTGCGGAGGAGGATGTGGAGGATGGGTGCACGGTGGGTTTGGGTAAGATGGGAGGGAGAAGAAAGGGGTGGGTTGAAGGAAAGGGGGGTCGGGGAAGATGAAGATGGGTTGTTTTTTGTTTTTTTTTTTGGGAGATGGGAAGATGGGTGCGCAAAGGAGGTGGAGGATGGGTGGGAGTGGTTTTGGATTTGGGTTGTAGGGAGGGACGATGGATGGGGAAGATGATGAAGGGGGTGGGGTTTCAGCGGGCATAGGGGGGAAGGGTGGGGTGATGAGATTTGGATTTTCTAAGTTTTTTTTTGTTGAAGATTTAGGTTTTGAAAAAATAAAAAAAATAAAATTTTGCCACGTGGCACAAATGTGGCAACCACGTCAGCGTTTAATGGATCAATGAATGGAAACTGTAGCAGATGTATTATTTTGAAATAAAATAGCACGTGAGGTATGAAAGCGAAATGTTTTAAAGATGTTGTATGGGGTTGTAATATACCTCAAACCTGAGGGGTTACTATGTAATTTACCCTATAAATTACTTTACAGCTAGAGATTATGGTCCTTTGTAACTATATCATAAATCAATAGGCCCTTTTATTTCTAGTTGAATGATACTTGCATCCCACCCGTGATCCAACCTTCTCATTCACCCTTTTTATTTAACGAATTTTTCATAAACATGATATAATCAGATTTGTTCATCTCCTAGATCGTTATTCCAAGATAATGTCTATGAAAAATCAAGAAAAACAAGAAAAATCAAGAAAATCAAGAAAATCAAGAAAAACAAATAGATAGTTTTGGTATAAACTAAATGCACGGTTCACCATGACAATGTTACTACCAAAATCATCTATTTGTTTGATACATATGGATGACTAAACTATCACCACTTTATTTGGATTTTTTCATAGATGATCTTGAAATGATGATTTAGGAGTTGATATATGCATTTTCCATGGAGATGCAAATATTGTCCTTTCTCTATATCTAAAGATCGATGGAGAGAAAATGCTGCGAAAAATAAAACTTGTGAATCCAAACTACTCTGAATTTTTCACTTTGGTTTGCACGCACCAAAAGCTGTTTTGGGAGATTTCATTTTTACTTTTTATTTTTGAATAACACTTGCATTTTCTTCTTGGGGTCTGAGCTCATTCTCTCACTTGCAAATAATTTATCTTCAACTTAAAAATTTCATAATCGGAACCGTTCAGTATCTTAATCTTCATTTGAAGTTCATGTCTACAAAAAAAATTTGAATCAATGATTGTTTAGTCATCCAAATGTATCAAATAAATCAATAGTGTATGTATCATGAACAGTTAATTTATTTGATACATTTGGATGACAAAACGATCACTGATTCAAATGATTTTTTGTAAGGAGAATCTTAAAATGAAGAATAAGATATTGAACGATTCTGATTATAAATTGTTTACGGTTAAGATACGTTATATGCAAGCTCCCTAAAAAATGAATGCAAGCATTATCATTTTTTTTAGAAAAACTAATAAAAAAGACTTGAAAACTTTGAGTTTTAACAATAAGCACAAAATAAAGAGTAAAGTGAATAGTACCATGATTGACTTTTTAGTGTAAAAATATGGTTTTTTGTTAAAGAGTAAAGTGAATAGTACCATGATTGACTTTTTAGTGTAAAAATATGGTTTTTTGTTAAAGTAAATAGTACCATGAGCTTTTCGTTAAAGTTCCATTTTTTTTTTGTTAGAAACGTAGGAGAATGAAAAAAAATAAAATAAAAGAGTAGATGAAGACGTTGAAGAACAAAAAAATCTGACGCTAGAAATTTGAGAAAAACAATTGTTCATGAATTATATTGTGCAGTTGATCTACTTCTAATTGCACGGAAGTTTTGTGATAAAACTCCATATTATGGCGTATTGTACATGTTGTAAGATGCAAGTTCGATACCAATTTATTCTTCCAGTACCCTTTAGTGTAAATATATTATTATATAAAAAAACAAAAAAAATAAAAAAAATAAGATAAAACGTGTCAATTGAGAATGGCCTACAATTATTATATGTCCAACTTTAAACATTCCAGTTTCCTCCAATATTCCCTTCCTTGTTTTGAGGTTATGAGTATCTCTCTTGATCTACTTTTTCAACAGATCGAATTCGCATTGATTCTTCATTGAAGGTATATTAAGGGACATTGAGTATAGCAAACACCAATTGGATCATGTGGAATTTCTTTATACTCTTCAGGCCTATAATGAGGTTGCGCATTTGGTGACGAAGTTTGTAACACGTATAGGGGGTTCTCATTCATGGGATTGCTTGGAGCCGGAGTGGTTATTTAATACCCTGGCTATTGATGTAAACATTTCTGTTCATATCTAATAATATCATCTTTTGACAAAAAAAAAAAAAATAAATAAATAAATTCGCATTGATTCTTCGGTTACTAAAATATTTGATTATTTGTGGATGTGCTTAACATATATGCTCCGAGTGATCAAATATACTAAATGAGCGTCGTCATGAGATATCAGATTCACTTGATAATCATTAAGCATAATTGCATCTGGAAAGGCTGATGAACTAAGACAAAAGTATTAGTCTACTTATATATATATATATATATATATATATATATATATATATATATATATATATATATATATATATATATATGTATGTATGTATATGTATATCAAGCCCTTTATGTAAAAGGATCTCTATTTTTTTTAAATGGGGATTAGGTGTGGGGCTTACTTCACATCGAACTTTAACGATCCGAACCGTTTATTTTGTAAGTCTCAATTCATAGATCATCCTTGCCGATAAAAGGCAAAGTGGTACTGAAATTGACTTCTGGAAATAACTTAACCCTGCAAGATGTTCTTCATGAATACTCAATTAACTTAAATTAGTAGCATGCTCATACAAAGAAAAGAAACTCTCATATCCGTCATCATTATGTAGGGTAATTTTTTAGAGTGTAGAATATCGCTAACAATAAAAAAGAAAAAAAAAACTAATGAAAAGGGTTTGAAAACTTTGAGTTTTAATGATAAGGATAAAATAAAGGGTAAAGTGAATAGTACTACGATTGATTTTTTAGTGTAAAAATGTGGTTTTTCGTTAAAATGAACAGTACCGAGAGTTTTTTTGTTAAAGTTCCTAAAACAAAATTACAAATATTCAGTTAAGCTATTTTATGGAAGGAGACCCTAATTATGCCAAAGATTAATTATTAAGGCAAGCCAAGTAAAACCAAACATGTTTCTCATTTTCCCTTTTATCCTTTTTTTTTTTGGGACTTTTTGGGTGACAACACAAACATATTCCTTCCTTGTTTTTTTTTCCCTTAAATTAGGATCATCTCTTTTTGCTTCTTTAGTCCATTCCAGATACGCCAAAAATGTTCTTTATTTACCTTGCAATATACGTAGCTTAATAAGATTCGTTAAAGTACGTATTTCGCACGTTCGCAGGCAAAGCCACACAATCTAACATTTTAAAAGGATCATCGACAACAATAAAAAAAAAAAGATCTTTAACAAAGAGATGACCGCGTGACACCTATTAGACTATTAATATTCAATAATAAAAAATTATGATCAAGACGTAACTAGAAATAAATAACTCGAACAATAATATATGAAGAAAGCGGCAAGTCCATGGTAGCTAGCCATGTGATGTGCCATCACCACCAACCAAATAATGTCAAAATCTCCTTAAATAATTAATGTCTCTAAAAGCCTAGAAGAAGTCAAAATATGTCGAAGATAACTCTAACGTGTAGTAGCTCACTAATCAGCATATACAGTCAAAGAACCTCTTGATTAATGTTCATGGTCGTGGGTTTATAACTAATCTAAATTATTTGATAAAATAAAACATAACTGAAATTAAATATTTATTGCAATTTATATGCACAAATCGCATATCAATACATTATTTATGGAATCACATGCACACGTGGTGTTTGTTGATCAAATTAATGAGACTTTAAAACAACGTAAAGTGTTAGGTTTGTGATATTCGTAAGATTGCTCTAGTCACCTACTAAAGGTAATATGTAGAGAGAAATAAGAGAAGTAAACATAAGATATACGTGATTTATCTCAAGTTGGGCTACATCCATGAGGGTAAAGGAGTTCTCATTAATAACGTAGTGTATACATGATACAAAGGATTATGATCATTAGTGAATTCTAAGTACAATAATGGCAATTAGGGATTAATTATAGGAGAATGGTCTCCTTTTATAATTTAAGGAGAGCCGCATGATTTCATCCGTGGTAAATGTGGAACTCTAGAAACTCTTGTGCTTCAACAGTGGAACCTCAACATGAATCCTTCAGTGGATCTCTAAAGGTACGAAGTTGACCAGTACTCGGTAGTTTCAGGATTAGTGAAGTATGGTACAAAATATTTCTTGGATGAAAAGACAAAAACATTTTATATAC